TATTTATTTATATTAGTAATTATTAGTTGACACTGTACAGTCTCAAACCATGATATAAAACGGAATTAAAGGCAATTAATTTAAATTTTCACTACTGTTACTTTTGCTGTTACTTAATGCTGAATAAAAGTATTAATTTCTTTTAAAATGATAGTGTATATGGATTTTACATGAGTACAATTTCACAGAAAAACACGAGGTTCATGTCAAAATTAGTGACCTCAAACATACAAATCTGAAAGTCAATCTGAACCGATCATGCGGGTTCAAGTTAATTTGGCTTTTATGAGCTGAGGTGCATTGATATTTTTATTTTATAAGGTGTTACAAAAAAGATGTTTTAACACAAAAAATTCAATTCCAGACCCAGAGGGAGTTCTAGAATGGGGAGAGTGGGTCTGTAATCATGGACAGACGCTCTCTTTGCTGGCTGGATGAGCGGAGAGGAATCTCCAGACCCGCCGCTGACAGGCTCCAGTTTATTTAGGAGAACTCAGACACTTAATCTAGTGCTTCTGACTGTCCAAAGTTACATGAAAGAAGTTTGTTAACAAAATTCTGCACTAATTTTTAAAAATAAGATCCTTTAGGTGCCAAAGTTGAGATGATGGGTAACACCGAAAAACTAAATATTGTGTAAGTGTACAGCTATGAAAAGCGGAAGGAAATGTGATGAAATGGAGTGTCTAGTGTGTGGGAAGTGCTAGAGTGTTGTCTAAACGGGTTATTCAGGGTTTGGGATTTGAATAGATCGTATTTAACTAAGAGGCCCATTAGATGTGCCATCAAGAGCTTCTGCCTGGTGCTTCTGTAATACATAAAGGCACCTGCGTCCAACACCCCATCATTTAACTCCCTCCCACCCGACTCCAGAGTCCTGTTAAAATATTGAGCAGGTACTTAAGTGTAATTTGGCTGAGTGCAGGCATTGCTGAAGGGTCCTTCATTCTCTGAAGACGTTTTGAGAAGGAACTAACACCATCAATTATGTATGCACTTATTCGACATCTCAGAAAAAACACGAAAAAGAGCCGAATCAGCTGCATTTCTGTTGTTTACCAGGATGTCGGAAAATTTGAACAGTAGTTGTTAGCTTACTTTGTGAATGGCATTTTATTTTTTCTATTATTAAATTCACTGATGTTACAAGAAATAATAGCTAAGAATTTGCAAGCAATTATTCTTTCATTTAAAAAAAATATTACTATAGTATATATTTATATAGTTTACATAGTATTTTACTATTACATATTTGGCTCTTGTAATGCAGGGAATATCATTTTTTATTCAGTTATTTTATTCCAGCTGTTGAAAGTCCTCAATTGTACTTCAGAGATTATTTTGACAATTTTTGATGAGTTTATCTTAAAAATGACCTTTTAAAAAATTCCCTACACTTATGTTGTTTAAAAAAGTCTAAATAGACCAAAATGATCCCAACCAACCAAACAATCAACAAACCAATCAATCAATCAATCAATCAATCAATCAATCAATATCAGAATTACTTTAATTCCTCCAGAACCTGTAGCTTTGCACTGAAACCCAAGAGTTTTTCAGTTTCAACCAGTTAAATGATGGACATGATGCTATCAAAGAACTTTGAGTTAAAGTGCTCTACGAATGAGAAAAAAGAAAATCAATATTACATGCTTTTGTTGACCAGATGCAGCCTAAGAGCGGAAACTAAACTGTGTTAGTACTGAGTCTGACAGAGAATACAGAAAGATAGATGGAGGACAAGGTAGAGAAAAAAAGAGCAACAGAGGTAGAAAGAGGGAACGTGAATCTTGAGAGAGAAAGAAGGAGGGTAATTATGTGGAAATGAGCAGTCTCCCAGCATGCTTCTCTCCCTCAGCGATGCAGACAGGAGCCATTTGTCATCTGGCCCAAAATGGCATCTCTGGAGCCTGTTTTAGAGACTGAGGGATTGAGGGACGCTTTCTTTCTCTAATATCCTCACTGAGTCCTGGATTTATATACTCTCTCTCTTTATCTTTAAACCCCTGTGCTCGTATCTCTCAGCCCCAGAGAGGCTCTACTATCCACCACGACTGAGTGAAACAGAGAGGATGTGATGTGATTAGAGGGAAAGTGCTTCCACAGGTGTCAATTCTTTTTCAACAGTGACCTCTCCTCCACACAAAGATAAATTATTTCTGTCATCCCATTCAATTATAACAATTCACACTCCTCCCAACACTTTTGCATTCTGTATTTCAGAATATTTGAGTTTAATGTTCATATTTGTAACAGCAAGCATACTGCATACTGTTTTCAGTTGGCACAAATACAAATATGAGGTTCAGTGGGTTGTGTTATATCTTTGCAGTCACTTTTTAATTTTAATTTTTTAAAGACATTATCAGTGTTTGCAGGCTGAATGATTGACACTTGGATATTGTATATCCTCCCTCACAGCCTTATTTTCATTCATGTCAAATTAAATATGACGTCTAACCTGATTAAGTAAAAAGTGAACGGTCTCTATTTGGTCAATAACGAGATGCTAAAGATCGAAAAGTTTGGATTTCAATTTGGATCATGGTTAAGACGCAGAGAAAGCAGGAGAAGCAAAAACAGCGGCAGTAGTTATGGGTCTACATTTTAGCCTGCACTTTTTATGCTCAAGATGATGAAAGACCAAAGAAAGAGCTTTCAGAAAGTCCCGACTTTTTATTGCTAAACAGGAAAAATGCTGCAATTATGCACAGAAAAAAAAAACCCTAATCCAGTTTATCATTGTGAAAAATTCAAAGGAACCTTGCTGTTTTATGAATTACAAAGTCACAAAACAATGAGAGAATGCAGGATATAAAGAATGAACATGAGAGGGAGAGAGACAGTAATGAAGAGGAAGAAAGAGAAGGAGGAAAGAGGAGGAGAGCATCTCCCACTGTGGGTTTTGGGTTTCTCCTTTGAGCAAGGCAAGAAGAACCTTCCGGATAAATGAAACCACAGAAGAGGCAAGGAGAATCAGACACCTGCGATCAGAGAAACAGGAAGCATTCCAGAAAGAGTGATGGAGGAAGAAACAGGGATAGAGTGAGATAAAGAGTGTGATGGAGCAAGAGAGAGAGAGAAAGTAGCCACATCTGAGGATGAAATAGATGGAGATAGTGAGTAAAATCCCCCCAAACAATAATCACTGGACGAAACCCAAAGCCTTTCATAGCACGCAGCAGGCAGACCTGATCTGGCCCTCTGGCCCGCGGGTGCTGAGGTGGGGGTGGGGGTGTGGAGGGAACTGCCTGTCCTGGGGCACTGACCAGATGCTCAAACGAAAGATTGGGATTTTTTCTCTTTGTGTGAATTAGGTTTGGGGTCACACACACAACCTGTAACATTTCACTTGTTGATAATTTCAGTGACTTTGCCAGATTATTAAGATTATTACAACAAATGGATCATTACGATCTGAACGAGTTCTACTGCAGGTTTGAAAAAACACCCCACACATGCAATAAATGTAAATATATAAAGTATATACAGATCATCACTAAAAAACTATTTTTATTTTAAAATAGTTTAAATAATTTTAAAACATATTATATAATATTAATATATGAATGCATAAGCATATACAAAATATTATAAATATTATAAATAATATTCTGACAATCTGAAACAATATCCAAAAAACTATAAATATTACTCTAAATATATTGAACGTGTGTGTATAATAATTATTTTAGACAACTGCTCAGAGGGAGAGAAAGGGAGAGCGAGAGTGGCGTGTGGTGTATTCAGACACTTCATTTAGTGAATGGGGGGCCGGTTTGAGAGACACCTACTTGCTTTACATGTGAGCACAAAGACATAAAGAACATAAAGAGTGCAGCGTGCAGGCAGATGCCGACATCATCCTGTCCTATGAAGCCCCATTCATAGTAACTGTGGCCTGCACTTATCATCATTGTGCACACTGAGAATGTGTGTGTGTGTGTACGACAAACTGTACTGGAGATTTGCTTCAATATTGCATTGATTCATAAAGTCTAACGTTTCTCCATGTAACAGTTATCGTTTATTACTGTTCAAGAATTTGCACACAGTTAAAACACTGTTATTATTAACTAAAACTTAAAAAAATGTTTCTCAGTAATTGAAATGAAGCTTAAATAAAATAACATACATAAAACATAAACTTAGAAAACTTAAATGAAAATTAGAAATGTTGCTTTGGCAACTATCTGAAATAGTTTATGCTGAAGTCAAATTTAAATTATTAAAACTAAAACTGAAATAAAAATTAAAGCTATATAGATAAAAAAAAAAACTAATAAGTGACAAGAAATACAAAAATAAAAGCTAGCATCGAGTTAAATGTATAACAATGGTGCTCGGAACGACAAGGTACAATGCACACAAATGCACCGAATGATGCTTTCTGTCAAATGCATATAAACGTAAACACACAGGAAGAGTACGAATTCTAGTTGACACTGCAGATTTACATAGGAAAACGAAGTGAGTACAGCTTGCCAGCATTTGATGCGATTGTCAGTGAAACAGACGGGACAGAAGACGAGTAACGGAACTGAACAGAATGTACGCTTGTTGTTGTATCAACTCATTTTAAGATTGTGTGACATTTCAGGCCTTTCCTTCTCTTTTTCTCTCTCTCTCTCTCACAGAATGGGGGTGTTCGGGAAAGGGAGGGAGCGTATCAGAGGGGGGTCTGTCTGTCTGCGTGTGTGAAGGCACAGACGGTTTAGTAGTAATGTGATGTGTGTCCCGAGGGATGTTTGATGGATTAATGCTGAGCAGCTCCATTGCGATGTACCACCTGATCTCACTCCCACCGTCTGCCTCTATAAAACCTGCCTGACTGCTGATCTCAGCTAGTCTCTCAGTCTCTCCTCTCTCTGTCTGTCTGTCTCTCTTTCTCTCTTCTCTATCTCTTCCTCCTCTCAGCCGCCTCCGCTGCAGGCCAGGAGCTATCCAGTGCTGAACAAGTGAATTTTTGCTGAGCAGCTCCATTGCGATGTACCACCTGATCTCACTCCCACCGTCTGCCTCTATAAAACCTGCCTGACTGCTGATCTCAGCTAGTCTCTCAGTCTCTCCTCTCTCTGTCTGTCTGTCTCTCTTTCTCTCTTCTCTATCTCTTCCTCCTCTCAGCCGCCTCCGCTGCAGGCCAGGAGCTATCCAGTGCTGAACAAGTGAATTTTTTCTTTTTTTCAGCAGCGTAAGCGGGTGTGTGTGTGTACAGTAGCAGGCACACACACACACACAGTATTGTACCACCAGACATCTCTCTCTCCTCCTGCGTGCTCTTCATTTTTCCTTTATCTAGACATTGTTTTTATTTTTTTATTTCTGGAACGTGGATCTTTTTTATAATACAACGGATTTCATTCGGGACAATTTTCACCAGGGTTTTTGTGTGTGCATGTGTGTCCGTCTGCGGCCGATGTGAAGGATTTCTGGTGCGTCTGTACGCGTGCGACCGTGTGAACCATGCCTCGCTCATTTCTGGTGAAGAAAATCAAATTGGATGATTTCTCCTCGTCTCCCGTGTCAGCGTCTAATCATCATCACCATCATCATCTTGATGACTCCTTTACACGCTCTCGCTCCAGCCTGGGCGTCCGGCTTTGCGAAAATGGTGAGTGTGATGCCTAAATATATTTTTATATACAGATACAGTAGCAACACTTCATGTGCTTGATGTTCCCAAATGGTTATCCTACAAAAAATATCTGCAAACCATAGTTCAATGCGTTTTGGACATTGTGTGTAGAGTCCAACAGATGTTACATAAAGCTTCCCGTTCTGTCGCGAACTAATCCGTAAAACCCTCCATCCTTTCACCCCCAGCCCCGTCCTCCATTGTGCCCCCCAGACTTTGTTTGTTTTGTTTTTTTGACTCATGCCGACACAAATCAGGTCACGCAGTGAGATCAGCTTATGCGAATAAAGCCGTATGAAGTAAGCTTGATACCAGTTTGTTGTGTGTAACAGCTAATACTAACACTAACATGCTGCTTTGTGGGGCTGATGTGTTTGTCCTTAGCTGATACTGCCCTTGAGTTTCGCTCCAAACCCTCCCCCCTCCCAACAGCATTCTCTCTTTCTCGTTCTCCTCCCCCATCCTCCGTTTCTGCCTCATCTCACTATTTCTCTTTTTCACTCTCCTGCTTCCGGGTACATGAATCTAAGTGGTGGAGGGGGAGGTAGGGTTTCAACCATCATTGACGCCACTGGAGACATCCGAGGACTGTACTGTCCAGCTCGAAGGAGAACGTGGGAGATGAAAAGAAAAAGAAGCTTGAGGCAGTGCTGACTTTTGTCACGTGATGCAGCAGCACATACACGCACAATAGGGCAAATAGCATCACGCACACAGAGTAAAGCCCAGCATCCCTGAGCGGACATGATGGGACAGGCTGAGCTAAACTGAGCTATTCTAGAAAGACTAAAGGGAGTCCAGAGAGCTCTGTGTCCTTACAGACAGATTTCGGCAGCAGATGTGTGGCTCTCTCTGCCCTGCTAGTGTTTTTCACAGATAAGCGAGATAAGACATGAAGGATATCTTCCCACCTGTTACAAAAAAAAAAACACAACAGACTGTTTATCTGTTTTTGGGTCATTGAATGATTACATGAACTTTTAAGCTGTGCTGCTCCTTTCAAAATGACATTTATGCTGTTATTAAATTGTATTGGATTGTATTTTCATATGCAATAACAAAATCGAAAACACACATTCATTCTTTATTTTATGCATATTAATCATTCTCCTTCGATGGTTCTGTATGATAATTTGCATACAGTTACTATAATTATATATTAAATAGAAGACACTTTTGCTGCATCTTGAAGGTCAAGAATCCAAACTCCTTAAACAAAGGACAAACAACTCCATCCTTCCTGTCAGCCAATTATGTAACCCTAAAAATATTTCACATCAGAATTTCATTGTTACAACTGTTGTTGATTCTTTAAAATCATAATATGAATTAATATGACTATATAATAATTATTTATATATTTTTTATTTATATTATTATTTGCATTATAATTATATTCACAATATCATTTTGTTCTGAGTAATTCTATTCATATATATTATTTCACACTTGCTTCTGTATAATCATTAAAAACATTTATACTGGTATTATATTAATAGGAATATTGCATGACTAAATTACTTAATATTCTATATTATTGATTGTATTGTTATATTATGGTTATATTCTAGTAAGGGATCCACACTCACTTAATCACTTTTCGATTTATTTAAAATTTGCAGCAGAGATCAATCAAACGTTTCGGCAGTAAGCCTTCTTCAGTGAATCATACAGTGACATTCCCTACAAGAGTTCTTAAAAAAGAAATGAAGTCCAAAGATCACCCGGTGAAAAGTCACATAACAGGTGTTACTGATCACGAACAGCAATTTCAGGACAAACAACCAAAGATAATTCCAAAATATTCAACACATACAAATAACATACCAATATAGGCACAAAAGAAAAGCATGTAACACAAATAATCCATCAAAAATGAAAATAAAAGAAATCTACATCAAAACCATCAACATAAATTAAAGTGGGGAACGAGCCAACGCATCAGGCCACCAGCCGTTCATTAGTCCGTATCGTATCACCCACTGTGGCAAACAATAAAGGGTTAAACAACTTATTAATTCTTAAAGAAAACAAGAAAGATCAAAGTCCTAATTTAAACCCAAGGGAGACATACCTTTTAATCGATACATCCAATAAGCTTCTCTTTGTAAAAGTTTTTTCTCTATATTACCACCTTTTCTGGAAATTGTTACTTTTTCGGTACCTATACAACTTAAATCCTTAATGTTATGACTACAATCATGAAAATGTCTTGCTATTGGTGAATTCACATCACGTCTCCTGATAGCAGATTTATGTTCACTAATACGAATTTTTAGCTGGCGACTCGTTTTTCTGATGTAAATAAATGGGCATGGACATTTTAACATATAAATCACATTAGATGTAGAGCAGGTAAATAAAGATTTCATGAAAAACATTCTACCAGAATGTACATCGCTAAACTGATTGGTTTTTGTTATCGATGAGCAGGCGGCACAATTCCTACAGGGAAAACAACCTTTTATAAATGTTTTAGTCTTGTCAGTATAAATATCAGATTTTGCCAATCTATTGGCTGTATTATTTGATCTTTTGTAAATAAACAAAGGAGAATTTTTAAAAATATCATCTAAAGAAGGGTCATTGAGATGATTATGTTTGATTTGACAAAAAATTATTTTATGTTTAATAATGATTTTTATCTACAAACACATGGAACCGCTATGGGTACTCCATTAGCTCCAAACTATGCAAACTTGTTTATGTGGAAATTTGAGGCAGAATATGTTTATCACAATAATCCTTTTTTGAAATATGTAAAATTATGGTTACGTTATATTGACGACTGTTTTCTTATTTGGACAGGAACGGAGGAAGAGTTGGTAGAATGCGGCAATTTTCTCAATTCCAGATTGACATCTATTTCATTTTCGATGGAGCAAGACCAAAACACTATCCATTTTTTGGATGTGTTAATGGTGAAGGACCACAAAAAATTAAGAACCACTGTCTTCCAGAAACCAACAGATAGAAACACAATTCTTGCGGCGGATAGTTTTCACCCTCTCTCATTAAAAAAGGGTTTGCCATTGAGTCAATTTCATCGACTACGTAGAATCTGTGATTCGGAAGAAAGTTTTGAGGAACAATCTCGCAAATTGTTTAGTCAATTCGAAGCTCGTGGTTATCCACATGCTTGGCTTCAGTCGGCATATGATAAAGTTAAAGTGTTAAATAGACAACAATTATTACACAAAGCTAATAAAAAAACAAAGAAATCTTTTTCAGTTAAATGTGTGCTGACTTTTAGTGAACAGTCTTATCAGATCAAGGAAATTATAACAAAATATTGGAATATTCTTTCAACTGACCCTTCTTTAGGTGATATTTTTAAAAAAATTCTCCTTTCTTTATTTACAAAAGATCAAATAATATAGCCAATAGATTGGCAAAATCTGATATATATATACTGACAAGACTAAAACATTTATAAAAGGTTGTTTTCCCTGTAGGAATTGTGCCGCCTGCTCATCGATAACAAAAACCAATCAATTTAGCGATGTACATTCTGGTAGAATGTTTTTCTTTAGGTGATATTTTTAAAAAAATTCTCCTTTGTTTATTTACAAAAGATCAAATAATATAGCCAATAGATTGGCAAAATCTGATATATATATACTGACAAGACTAAAACATTTATAAAAGGTTGTTTTCCCTGTAGGAATTGTGCCGCCTGCTCATCGATAACAAAAACCAATCAATTTAGCGATGTACATTCTGGTAGAATGTTTTTCATTAAATCTTTAATTACCTGCTCTACATCTAATGTGATTTATATGTTAAAATGTCCATGCCCATTTATTTACATCAGAAAAACGAGTCGCCAGCTAAAAATTCGTATTAGTGAACATAAATCTGCTATCAGGAGACGTGATGTGAATTCACCAATAGCAAGACATTTTCATGATTGTAGTCATAACATTAAGGATTTAAGTTGTATAGGTATCGAAAAAGTAACAATTTCCAGAAGAGGTGGTAACATAGAGAAAAAACTTTTACAAAGAGAAGCTTATTGGATGTATCGGTGGTAATATAGAGAAAAAACTTTTACAAAGAGAAGCTTATTGGATGTATCGATTAAAAGGTCTGTCTCCCTTGGGTTTAAATTAGGACTTTGATCTTTCTTGTTTTCTTTAAGAATTAATAAGTTGTTTAACCCTTTATTGTTTGCCACAGTGGGTGATACGATACGGACTAATGAACGGCTGGTGGCCTGATGCGTTGGCTCGTTCCCCACTTTAATTTATGTTGATGGTTTTGATGTAGATTTCTCCCTTACTAGAGAATATGATGTGTTGATTGATCTACGCATCCTAGACTAAAGTTGAGCGCAGTGAACTTTTTTTTTCTTCATATATTATGGTTATAATCATATTCACACTATTTATTCAAACAGTGCAAGCCTTTCATTCTTTCTTGGCTAATACCACAGTTTTATTTTTGTAGCATAACAATACCTAGTCAGCTGTTCTGACAGAAAATATGATTATGAAAAACCCCTAAGCCGCGGACAATGTGTAGACAATGCAGTTATACATCCCAAATAACATCCTCTCAGTCTCTCTACTGATCCTGTTGATCTTTTTCCTGGCCAGCTGTATCCTTATTGCTCACTGCTGTCTACAGTCTCACTGTATAACTAGCACTGCATTAAATGCTGTTTGGGTTTCCCTTTTAGCACACAGATTTAATTATAAACATTTTGTTGAAGACATGGCACCTTGGAAGGTGTATTATGTCGGTGAAATTCCAATGGCAATAAACGCGTCTGAACCCTACGGCTGCCAGAAATCCTTTTAGCAGCTCCTCACGATGCATTAAGACTCGCTCTTCATGGTCAGAGGGCTCCATAATCAGTTCAGAGAATTTAGGAGGGAGTTTATATGCTTCAGCAGATAGCATGGTAATAAGATGCCCTGTATTAGGAAATACATTTGTAATACAATTCAATGTTTGGAACAATTTCAATGTTTTGAAATCTGGGAAAGAGCTTCGGTTCTCTTCTGACAGAAGTGAAAGTGTTTTGTAAAGTCCAGATTTCCTTAAAACAGTTTAAATACATCCATAACGTCAACCTCTCTTTACTTCCACTTTTAACAGATTATGTTGTGCATAATGGACGAATAAACACAAAACTCTATAGAAGCCCTTGGATAATCTTATCAAAGCAAAAGAGAGTCTGAGTGGCTTCTTCATCTTAAGGAGAGAAAGAGAGACACTTATGCCTCCACCACAGTTAACCTGCTTAATTAGCCATTAACCATGTTAAAACCCTTTGGGTCACAATCTCACACACATACACACACACACACTTACATGAATGAGGTATGCAAGAGTCCTCTAACAGCCACCAGGAACTATGGAAGCCCATTTGCAGCTCATAGTAAAAAATAAAGAACGTTAAAATCAGAAATAATGTCACAATTGTGAGATATAAAGCCATGCTATGAAATATAAAGTCTCACTTGAGCTATAAAGTCACCAATGTGAGCTATGAGTTCATATTGTGAAAACAAATTCGCAATTGAGAAAAGCCAAATTATGACAAATTAAGAAAAAATGAATGAATAAATAAACAAGGAAAAAGGTAATTGGCCATTTGAAATAAATCACAGGCAGAAATGGACTTCCATAGGGAATAGCATAAAATATAGTTGGTTTCCAATATTATTTTACCATTTAAAACAAAGATTTCCATCCTACAACAAAAACTTCGAATGTATTTGTTATGGTGTGCAAAAGGAAAGAGATAATGCAAGGTGTTTTAGGAAATTATCACTAAAACAGGTGTTTACACTCTTAGAAATAAAGGTTCCAAAAGAGGAACCTTTGCAGCGTAGAATGCCATAGAACCACCATTTTGGGTTCCTGAAAGAACCTTTCAGTGATCGGTTCTTAAAAGAACTATTTTTTCCTATGTGTGAAGAACATTTGAATAATCTAAAGAAACTTTTGTAATAATAAAGAACCTTTTGTGGAATGGAAAGGTTCCATGGATGTTAAAGGTTCTTCATGGAAACAAAGATGCCAATAAAGAACCTTTATTTTCAAGAGTGTATTTGTCATTGCACTTCTACTTCTATTTTGTTGTGTCTGATATTGTCATTGTGTCTGTAGTGTAATTTGTCTGCATCTTTAATTACTTTACACCTGGAATTCAGTGTACAAGTGAAAGGTCAATGAGTTAATAACCTATTCATGTCCTCTGTCCTGCTGCAGGCTACATCCAGGATTACATCAGCTCTTCTGAATACACAGAGGAGAAGCAGGCCGACATGAAGCTGAGCTCGGATCCGCTGTACTCCCCAGTCAGCAGCGGAGGAGGGGAGTACTGCCAACCAGACCTGGAGCAACCGGACAGCCCTCAGTCCGGCCTCACGGCTCGCGGATACTTCAGCAGCGAGAGTGAATCTCTCAGCGAGGGCTACACCATGGATGCGTTCTTCATATCTGACGGCCGTTCAAGGAGAAAGGGAGAGGTCACGGAAGCAAAAAAAGCCACCACTGTCGAGGAGAAAGAAGTGGTCGCGGTGAACAACGGAGGTCCCCGACACACCTGCAACGAATGCGGAAAGACCTATGCCACTTCATCCAACCTGAGCCGACACAAGCAGACCCACCGCAGCCTTGACAGCAAGATGGCACGCAAGTGTCCCACCTGCGACAAGGTTTACGTATCCATGCCGGCTCTGGCCATGCACATCCTCACTCACGACCTCAAGCACAAATGTCACGTGTGCAGCAAATCCTTCAGTCGGCCCTGGCTGCTTCAGGGGCACATGCGATCGCATACGGGAGAAAAACCCTTCGCCTGCGCCCACTGTGGGAAAGCCTTCGCCGACCGATCCAACCTACGAGCGCACATGCAGACACATTCGGCCTTCAAACACTACAGCTGCAAGCGCTGCAATAAGACCTTCGCGCTGAAGTCCTACCTGAACAAGCACTACGAGTCCGCCTGCTTCAGAGGCTCCGGAGACGAGGACGAGTCTGGATCCGAGAATTAGCAAAAAGAAGAAATGAAGATGAGCTAACACTCTCAAAAATCCCCCCACAGACTCCCTTCACAGACCCCACTTTCCCTTTTTTAGAAAGCAATATTTTGACCAAGAAAAAAAACAAACCAACCCAATAATAAGAAGACAATAATTAATAGATGCTGGATTTTTTTCTTTGGTAAAAAAAGGCCCTCTCATATAGACAATTATAGTACAATTAATTATGAGGCCAGGCATGCAAATTTTTATGAACATAATACTATTAATAACGATAGTAATAATATTTAGATTCCTGATGTTTTATAGCAAATCGTGAAAAAAGACATAAAAAAATGACTTTTGAGAAATGAAATCAATTTTGAGAAATGAAATCAATTTGTATTTTTATGCTGCTCTTTTATTTTGAATTCTTTTGCAACTGCCAACACAAACTTTTTATGAAAATGTGAATAATGACAGTATTTGCAAAAAAACTAAACAAAAAGATTGTAGACCTCTGAAAAGGTACAAACTTTTGTTACACTTTTGGTATTTTATTTATAATTGTTATTTTTATATTCAAAGTTTCCTGCAGTTTCTTGGTTCCATTATTTATTTGTTTATTCATTTATTTATTGTGCCAATCATGTCCTGTAACTATATGAGCAGAGCAACCATCACTCTGTTTACCATATGGAGGAAACAGCACTCAAGACTAAACATTTCAATGATCTCCAAACATTCGAAACACTCATAATACGGACGACAGGGACTTTCAACAACATCTTTAGCAGATCTCTGCTCGCTCTGCTGGGCTTCCGCGCACTAAAACAGACTGCATGTGCTCCAGATGCCTGGAGCTCCGCCCCTTGTCTTCCTGCTCCATGATTACCTCACCCAGAGGCAGGTATGACCTCTAACCTCTGCTCTGTCCACGCTCTCAAAGCGCCCCATCACACAAACCTCATTTCTACCATTCCAGTATTGTTGTTGAGTATTTATGTATTTATTTATGCACTATTTTCATTTTCTTATTTATTTCATGTGTATTTATTTATTTATGTAACTATCTATCTATTTATTTATTTATTTGGGTGATTATCCTCTGTGTCATTGGATACTGAACTGCCGTTGACCTTTTAAGATGCTGCTCTTTAATGAAAATCTTTATATGCATGATTCAGCTGTAGAGGGATTTTATTCTTTTTCGAGAGGGACGGTATGCAGTGTTTGAAAGCAGATGAATTCAGGTGATGATGCTTTGTTTAATGGGCAATAATTCTTCTTAGGTACAGCAACTTGTATAATCACAGCTGTCCTGTTAGCAGTCAATGTAGGGCAATAAACAAAAACCTCCTTACTATCTCAAAGGTCATTCTCTCCATTTCGTCGTTTCTAGAACTCCATTTCCTGCTAAGACCATCCAGAATGTCTATATATGGTGTGTATGTGTGACTCCACCCACATTTGTGACATCACAATTCATCTCATTGCCAGATGCCAAACAATTTAGTAATCGAGAAATATTTTACATTACAATATATTAATCCCTAAAAGTGCAAATTGAACTCGACAGATATTAAAATGCTTGTCCTTTTTGTACTTACAAATTTAAATGACATTTTAATAAGAAAATCAGCAGCAATAAACCTTTTTCTAACAGAATTTTTACTATTATTATCACAGTCTTATGTCTCAGCAATAGTTTTGAATGCAATTATAAAAAGACTAACCCACAGCATGACATATTTCATGAATTTGTCTTTAGCTGTCCAAATAAATCCCATCATAAGCTGCGGCCGCCAGACGATGACATGAACATGACAGACAGAGTGTCAGTGACGTGAAATAGGAGTCCCAAATCCTAGACCCAGAAATAATGACCCCCCTGAATGGCCAATCAGGATGGATTATTCAGTGTTTGGGTGAAAGGAGTGCTGGATTCAGAACAGAGATGAAACAAAATAGAGGCTTAATGGCAGCATTGATGGAAATAGCTGAGCATATGGTGCCAATGTGCCGCCACCTATACAATAAAGATCTGAAGGATATTTGGAGATGAAAGGATGAGAAGTGCAATCAGAATGTGAAGTGTAAATCAGCTGGCTCTTTGCAGTCTCTCCTGTGAAGCAGAAAAATAGCAAACAAATCTGCTTATTTTATATTAAAAATAAATTGAGGAATGAAACCTTGCATAGGACAAAATGCATCAGCATATATGATGCAGCTCATGACAAATTGATTAGAAGCTGTGTCCACTCCACCAAAAAGGGTTAACAGGTGTTGGTGGACAGACAGTAGTCTGAGAGCATAATTGAGTCAGAGTTTGACCTTGTGAGGAAGGTCGAGCAGCACCAGCCAAAGGCTCTGTCAGCGTTTTGCATATTGTAAAAAGGACGGCACAATCTCAGTAATGGGCCAAAACCTGCGGGGAATAGATAATGAGTTTCTCCTCCCACTTTTCTTCTGCTCTTCGCCTCTTTTCCACCCATTCCTGACCTCGTACATTGGCACACTGTGTCTCAACGTGTCCAAGCAGCGTTCTACATGGTATTTCACACTCATTGCTGATGGACAGTCAGAAATATAATAACAACTATTAAAATTAAAAATGCACCCTCTGGAATTGATTTTCAAGAACATTTTTACTAAAAAAAAATAATACTTGATCACTGATAGAATGATCACAATTTAAAATGTTAACATAAAATGTTCTAAAAAAATTCTAAAAGACATTTAGAATTTTACAAAAGATTTCTATTTCAAATAAACAATCTTTCTATTCATCAAAGAATTCTGAAAAAAAGTATCACCATTTCCACAAGAATATTAAGCAGCAATATTAACGGTTTTCAACATTCATAATAAATGACACTGAAGACTGGAGTAAAGGCTGCTGAAAATTCAGCTTTGCCATCATAAATTACATTTGAACATATATTAAATTGAAAACAGTTTTTTAAAATGTAATAATATTTCACAATAAAACATTTTTACAGTATTATTGATCAAATAAATGCTGCCTTAGTGAGAATAAAAGACTTTTAAAAACATTAAAAAGTTTTACTTTTGAATGGTGGTGTATATGAAAAATACACAAATGTTATCTAACAGATATATTGCGTAGAATATATTGTGTAGAGAAGTTTTGCTCCAAACCCTAATTAATTTCTGACCCTAATGGACATTCATCCTGCTTGTATTTCTAAATCATCCCTTCATATTTTTGACACACCCACAGCTGTGAAGAATCAACAGACTATCTGTTATGAATATCCATCTGGATATTTTCCATTGTAATAAGGCTTGAATTCAGAGTCAATTTTAATTATGCAATGCTTGGTGTATTGTAGATGAGCTCTTTTAAAGACTATTCCAAAGGACTACCACCATCTCTTTGTTTTGAAAAAAATAATTTTTCCACAAATGTTCAGAAATGTGAGACAACTGAAGAGACTGAGAAAGTGAAAGCTTTTTCCCCTGTTTTTCCTGAAACAAGTGTAAATACGTGTGTATATAGATCTCAGCAATAATGAGACACCGCATGCGAGCCGATCCCTTTGCTTTTACCTTTTCTGAGCCGTTTAACCCTGGACAGGCTGAACAGGATCAGGGACTTCATTAGCTCATTACCTGCTGTAGCTACCAGCAATATTAACAATGCTAATCATTCTCTCTCTGTTCACTAGGATCTACACATATTTCTTTGTCTCGGTCCCTCTTTTTCTCTCCTGTTTTTTTTTTTTTTTCCTTTTGTGGAAGTGCCCAGCCTGGCTGAACAATAATATGAAGTGCCAAAAAAATAAAGAGTTATTTCCATGACAAAAGCCTTCAGCATATGGTAGGCAACTCACAGCCCTCCATATGGTCCTTGAGAGATTTCAGATTGTCTCTCTTCTTTTCCCTTGCCTTCTCTCTCTATATTCCTGCCTCCCTGTGTAAAAACATAACGATTTTTCAACTTCTGATATTACATTTTGCCTGTTATGAAGGGTAAAGCCAATAGTGATGGTTATGAACAATAAAACCAATAGCACAAGCAGTCTGTTGCCTCTTTTTTATTGACTAAATGTTTTGCTTTCTCTCAAATACAAAACATGAGAACGTACACTGAAAGTGCATATAGATGCTTTTAGAGATCCCACTCATGGACCCCTGACCCCAGTTTAAAACCCCTGCATTAGTAGAACTGTATGTTCCGGCTTGTAGTCTGTACTTCTTACTGTAGGGTGGACATCAATTCTGATCACAAACACAAGACTACAGTCACAAATCAGAATGAATGAGCGACTTCTTCCTGTGTTCCTCCCTGACAATGATTACCCATCTCAGCGATGGTGCTGCTGATCTGGGATCAGCCTTGCTTACAAGCATCAGTACTATAACTATCACCGGAAGAACATCTAAACTGTAATCAAGTCAGCAGCTAAAGTCACTCTGAAACCTGGTGCACATGCATCTGTCCTGGTGCTCTTAAGCCAGTCCAAGCCATTAAATGTTAATGAAACATTGATTTTATGTTACACTCTGGTCTTACCAAGATGCAGCACTCAGAGCTGAATGAGACTGATTACTGATGCTGAGGGAAAGAGACTGTCATCAGGACAGAGGAGGACTGATGTCCAAGAAACCGGAAACACGATTTGACCATTATGTCCTTAACTGTCCTACAAGATTCAAGATTCTTAATTGTCACTATACAAGTACAATGAAATTAGGGCAGTCCTTACGGTGCAGTCCCACATGAGTGCAAGCTACAGTGTTTTAGTTCGGCTTTGGTTTCTGCCTGACCGATTGATTTAATAGATGACATTGCTATATTCATTAACTGGTGCTTCTAAAAATGTAAATACAGGATAAGTTTGGCTCTTGGTTTACTACTTTCATGTACAGGCAGAGCCATAACTTCCATAAACACTAATGGATAAAAAAACAGTCAGAATAGTGGGTGATCAATTTGTTTTTCGATGACTGCTTTGGTCCCTGAAAATATAAAATGCTTGGTTACAAACTGTTACAGTTGTTAGTTAGTACAAAATGATTCAGCTATGGTCACATTTAGTAAACATTTAGCTTAATATCAACTTATAAATTCATACCCTGAGCCACTGTTCAGACCAGTACTGATTACGGTTGTATAATTTTTATCACTGTATTTTTTATGTAGAGTTGAAATTTTATTGGCGTAACAAAGCCATACTGGTTTTATAAAATTGGTTTTATAAAATTGTATTCATCTTGAGTTAGGTTAGGCCCTTTATTTCTTCCTTAAGAAGTCCTAAGCAACTTAAAAGAATACAACTAACTAACATCAGTTTGTTTTT